ATCAAAAATATACTGAACTAAAAGAAGAGATTGCCGGAAGCAACCCTTGTTGCATTTTTAAGCACTTAGCGTCAAGATCCTAACGAGACATTCCATAAGTTAGCTGGCCAATTCAACCTTAATCTACAAGATTGCAAATCAGTGAAGTTACTTCACGGACAGGAAGTGCATTCAGTGACAGCTGTTTCCTTGCTCAAATAAACTAATTTATAATCCTCTATTATTGGGTCATGTTTGGGCTTGTTCTTTTGTCTATTGTGTGTATGTAATGTTCATATCATAGGAAGTGCGATAGTCCGAGCTAAACTTGTGGTTAATCCAGCCTCGTCTTGTTCAGTGTCTCTTGCCGCACAACCTCTCTCTTCCTCCCCATAAGCATATCAAACAGCCACAAATAGCTCCTAATCCGTTTTCTACACTCGCTCCTCCTATTCAAGACGTTGACTATTTTGTTACTTTCTATAGACTACCTAATCTTACGCGAAACCCACCAAATTGTGCGTTTTGGACCAGTCTATTGAGTGCCCTGTGTCGTTCATGTGTTCAGCGAGCTCAGATTTTTGGACCCACACACTTTTACAAGCATTTTCGTGTTCGCATACTGTCTTCTGGATGGGTCGGCAGGTCTCCCCACATAGACCTACCGATTGAGTACAAAACCTTGTATCAGCTTGATCTAGAAATAGGGTCGAAAATTCTCCTAACGAAGGAGTTATTAAAGAAAGTGTTAATTTTTCTTTATACTTTTTCGCAAGCTGACAAGAAGGCATAATCAGGAACCAAGTAGAATGGTTCTATTGTCTATACCGTCCCAGATGACAAACTCATCTCATCCTAATTAATATTGATATGTAATTATCTACTGACCCCAATGGGGGATTGCTTTGAATCAGCGTATGCCTCAATCTACCGACCGCCTGGTACCTATGCCAACACAAAACCTCTTGTGAATGTATATGGGCCTAAAGTCTGGGTTCGCTGATCACATGGCTGATACAGGAGACACAATAGACCGGTCCAACCGCGTTTTCCAGGTCACGGGTACTTCACATAAAAGCGTAGGTTTAGGGAGTCTATTGAAATGAACAAAACAGCCATTCTCGAAACTCTTCTTCTAAACGAAACACAGGCAACGTGCTGAATAGGAGGAATGAGTGTAAGAAACTGAGTAGAAACTATTTGTGTATTTTGGATAGGCTTAAGTAGAGAGGGAGAGAGAAGGAGTGCAGGAAGAGCCACTGAACAACAGGAGACTGGATAAGACTTAAGTCTAGATATCACTATAGAATATCCCATGATATGGGCAATAGAAAAAAAACACAAATCCACACATGAATCAACATTTAAGCATCGTACACTAGTCTATTTTGTAAGGAATCAACCTAATATATGCATTAATTCGTTTGTACCTAAACTTTTAGACTCATGTGAAGCAAACAACGTGATGAGTTCATTGTTGTCCAGGTGTAATGGACCCTATAGCCAACTGAGTCAGGACGAAGAGACCTACGGAATCGGTTGGCAGCCGTTTACGGGAACTGGTGTCTTGAACAACTCAGCGCCTGAGTACATCTTCCACTCTGCCAGCAGTCTGGACGGGGTGCAATTTCTTGGCCTCCTCTCTTGGTACTCAGGAGGAGGGTAAGTGATTTGGGTTTGGTGCTGCATTTCTAGCAGAGAGGTGCGTAATCTTTAGAGCAGAGCCGAGGCTTCACTAGACTGAAGTTAAATTGCTTACAAATAATCTCAGATATTCGGCTTCTTAGAGTTCACAGATGGCTTAGGAACCCATAGCTTATTGGCATTAGATCCGTTTTGTTTAGTGGGGAGTGCCTGTGTCTTGTGACAAATTCCTTGTGGAGAGGGATGAGATGGAAACTGGATGCAAAAACACTTTTCAGGGTAAGCTGAGAGTAATAAGATTCTGTGGTCTGAAACAGAATATGATATA